GGCGGAAAGCGACCCATAGGCGCCCTATGCACGCGCGCTCGGGTTCTAGCAGCGCGCCGCAAGACTGAGGCCAAGGCTTGGGAATTACAATGGCCTAGGTCTTGGGCGTTCGGGGGCCGCGGGGCGAGCTGCGAGCGGGCGGCCTGGGAGCAGGCGGCGGCTGTTCAGCGGGCTCACCTCAATGGCCAGAGTACCGCTACTGCCATTATTGACCTCCAGAAGGCCTACGAGCACGTTTGCCATCTCGGCCTCGCGAAGGCCGCTGGAAAATATGGCTTTGGGCTCCGACGGTTAGCGCTGCTGCTGGCGTTGCGCTGCGGGCCCAGAGTGCTGCAGCTGGGCATCTTCATTTCCCCTTGTTTCCGAATAGCTCAGGGGGTCCTTGCAGGGTGCGCGTTCGCCACGTCGCTGCTCAGATTGGTTTTAATTGAGACGGTAGACCGCGTCCTCGGCCGCATCCAATCGCTGGCCGCGTACCTCGCGGTGGACGACAGCTCGCTTTCGGCCGCGGGCCCCGCCAAGATGGTGGTCCGCGCGCTGGCTGGCGGGGCGAACGCCCTGCGCCAGTCGCTCGAGGAATTGGGTCGGAAGATCTCGCCCACTAAAAACAAATTCACCGCTCCGCCCCATGCCCTGGCCAGGGCCCTGGCGGCTCGTCTCCGGCGTTGGAACTTCCAGGCCGAGAGTAGCGTTAAAAATATTGGGGTGCATTTCGCTGCGGGCCGCAGGCAATCCCGCAAGGTTGGATCAGAGGAGTTCGCAAGCGCGTACGACGGTTCAGGTTATTGCGCTCTAGTAGAAATTGCACTTCTCGCATCTTCAAGACTGGGGGTAGCCCAGCCGCACTTTACGGTGCAAGAGTTTTCGGCATGTCTAACGCCTGTTTGCATGCGCTGAGGGCCGCAGCTGGAGCTGCCTGCTTCGGTCCGGCAGCAGGCAAGTCTCGCACTCTTCAGTTTCTGTTGAGCGGCGATCCGAAGGCTGGTCCGATTTACGCGGCTAACGCCTTGCCGTTGACGTTTTGGGGTCGTGCTATCGTCGAGGATTGGGCCTCTAGGGCCACCATCGCTAGCACTTTTCGGCAAGCACAGGCAGTTTTTAATGGCCGAGTCCGCGGGCCCTGCTCGGCCGTCCTGGGCGCCCTCGCCAGGCTGGGATGGACCGCTGAACGTTTCGACCGTTGGCTGACGGGGAGTGGGGTGGTTGTGGATTTGTCTGAGGTCCATCCCGGCACTCTGCGCAAGCTTGTCGATCTCGGCACAGAGCTAGCGTTTTTGAACAGCCTCTCCGGTTCTCAGGGGTTAGAGATGCTAGGAGGTCTCCCGCTCTTGGATCCAATCCGAAAGGCCCAGGCCCAGCTCCGCCGAGAAGGGCATAAGGCTGGGGCTCAGATGTTGGCCACTCACGCCGCCGGTGGTCTCTGGACGCAGCAGAGGTTGTTCGAGGCTCGTTCGGCCACCTCGCCCTTCTGCCTTGTTTGCCAGGCTGCTCCAGGGACCACTGGTCATCGCCTCTTTTGCTGTGATTTTTCAGAATCGATCCGAGACGGACACGATCTTGACGATGTCACTCGCGAAGGGAGTCGATGCCAGATCAATGATCCTTTGTTGTACAGGTGCCTCGCCAATTCGCTGCTGAGGCTGCAACCGCCACCATCGCAGCCCGGTGTGGTCAGCAATGATGGGCCCCTCTAGGGAGGCGCCTTCTCAGGTCTCGTCGGCATCAACGGCTCGTGCTTTGATCCCGAATTTGCGCGCCAGCCGTGCAGGGTGGGCATGCGCTGCCGTTGACAACCACGGTGAATCGAGATGAGCGGTGTTCGGCACCCCCTACCGCCCTGCAGGAAATAGGTATTGCGGAGGTTTGGGCGATGTACATGTGCTTGCAGCATTCCGTCGGGGATCCTGCCGTTGTCACCAACTGCACGGCGGTCGCGGATGGCGTTGCTGCGGGCCCAGAGGTCTGCTGTAGAGTGAGGCGCCCGTATTCATAGATTTGGGTCCGTGTTTGGGATAAGATCCAAGACATCGGCCGTGAGAACATCCAGTTGGTCTGGGTTCCGCCCCACACGTCTTGGCGGGAGGCTCAGGCTCAGGGCGTTGTGTGGCGACATTTCAGGGCTAACAAATTAGCCGACACCTTTGCCAAGCGCGCGGCTCAAGGGCACCCCGCGAGCCCCAAAGTCGTAGAGCAGAGGCCTCTCCTTTGGTGGACAGCGAGGTTCGTAGCCTACTATACGGGCCGCGTGCTATCCCACCTAGCGGCCGCTGGATTCCCTGACGTCGAACGTCCCCGGCTCCGGCGGGTCCTCGATCCGCTTGAATCGTTTCGGACCCGAGGGGCCATCAGGTGAAGTTCAGAGTTGGCCGCTGGGGATGCCTTCAGTGTGGGCGCAATTGCGCCACGCGTGCTAAGCTTTGTCGCCCTCCTTGCCCTGGCGTGCCTCCTCGGCTCGCTCTGGCCCATCATACTCATAGTTTGTGGTGGGCAGGGGGGTGGGAGGACGGGGTGATTTGGTGTTCTGCCTGTGGAGGGTCTGCTCGGAGGCAGATTCTGTCGCTCCCCACGCGGTGCCTGAAGCACCCGACCTCAGGCACGAAGAATGTTTGAAAGCTGCTCAGGAGAGGAATCGACCCTTCCACCCAGCGGCCCCATCCCAGCCAGGTCGACCCCTGTGACCCCGCCACTCGACGCTCGTCGAGCTTCTTGGGCACAGGGTTTGATTGACGTTTTGGCTGAACAAGGGGATCGTTTTTGGGAGGAGTGGTTGTTCTCTTTTTTCGTGCAGGCCGTTTGTTCTTCTTCGCGTGGTTTCCAGGAGGCTGCTGGGGCCCCTGTCAGACCCCCTCCGCGCTCGAATCGTGGCAGTTCAGATTGTGGTGGTTCCCTCTGGGGGCCTCCGCCAAAGCAGCGGAAAACGAACAGAGGAGGAGGAGGAGGAGGAGGAGGAGGAGGAGGAGGAGGAGTAGGAGGGGAGGAGGAGGAGGAGAAGAGTGAGGAGGAGGAGGGAGGAGGAGGAGGAGGAGGAGGAGGAGTGAGGAAGGAGGAGGAGGAGGAGGAGGAGTAGGGAGGAGGAGGAGGAGGAGGAGGAGGAGGAGGAGGAGGAGGAGGGGAGGAGGGGGTGGGGAGGGAGGAGGGAGGAGGGAGGTAGGGAGGAGGGGGGCGGAGGAGGGGGAGGGGGAGGAGGGGGGCAGGAGGAAGGAGAGGAGGGAGGAGGGAGAGGGAGAAGGGAGGAGGGAGAGGAGGAGGAGGAGTAGGAGGAGGAGGAGAGGAGGAAGGAGGAATGGGAGTAATGGAGGAATGGAGGAATGGAGGAAATGGAGGAATGGAGGAATGGAGGAATGGAGGAATGGAGGAGGGAGGAGGGGAGGGGAGGAGGGAGGAGGGAGGAGGGGAGGAGGAGGGGAGGAGGAGAGGAGGAGGAGGAGAAGGTGGGAGAGAGGGGAGTAGGGAGGAGGTGGAGAAGAAGAGAGGAAGAAGAAGGAGGAGGAGGCGGTAGACAGCAGGAGGAGTAGGAGCGAGGTGGAGAGGAGGAGGAGCAGAGAGGAGGATGATGATGAGGAGGTGGAGTGAGGGGAGGCTAGTGATGCGGAGGGAAGGAGGTGAGGGAGGGAGGATGTGAGGAGGAAGAAGGAGGGGAGGAAAAAAAAGAGAGATCGGCGACGAGAAAGAAGCAGGCAGGCAGCAGGCCTGCAGCGCACAGCGTCTGCACGTGCCTTGCGCGCGCGCGAGGCGTGTGTGCAGCCAGCCTGGGCAGGCGAGCGGGCGGGCAGGCACTGCACGGCCACGCGGACAGTGGCGAGGCGAAAGTGTGCACGGCCTCCTCCGCACACCTGTCACCGAGTCTTTCCAGCCCTCCATGGTACGGTACTCTGGGTTTCTTCGTAAGCGTGGGGGGGTACCCCCACGACTGGGGTCACCCTCGTCTCGTCGTCGCGCCGCGACGGGGGTCCGAGCATCTCCGGCGCGTGGTGGCTGCCCGCGACGGGGGTTCGATGTGGGGCTGTCGGCGGGGGTGACGCCCCCCCGAAGCTTATTCAGAAACTCGGAGTAGGTTCGCGTCGTGTCGACCGGCGGCGATCCCGCCGCGGGCGTTCAAAGTTGAACGCCGCCAGCGGCCCAGAATCGGCCTACATGGAACGATGGGACGATCGAAAAGCCGCCGATCATTCAAGGTTGAACGATCCACGCGGTTCCAGAAACCAACGCCGGGATCGTCATGACACGAACCTGCCGTAGGCTGGTGTGGCAGCTGCGGCGAGCTGGCACTGTAGAGCCTTGAAGGCGAGCACGTGTCGGTCTTGGCGTTGAGGCTGCTGTGCTGTGACATGTAGAGGTGGCGATGCGACAAAGGCGGAGGAGCCAAGGATTGCCCCCCGTCCTCCTGGCTCTCTTCCGCCTGCCCTTTCTCTTCGTTGCCCACCTCGAGCAGGAGTGGTGCTGCGAACGCGAGCCGCCCAGGGGATGCCTGCCCTTCGACTGCGACGCGGGCTTAGCCAAGTGGGAAACCGGCTGGTCCGGCGAGAAGAAGGAATCTCCCTCATCCCTCCGGATCTTCCCTCCCTCCCTCCTACCCCCGCGGGCGGGAAGCATATCCACATCCACGCCGTCGCTGTCCGAACTTGGCCCCGACCCCATGCATACAGGGTGTTTCTGCGCGGATGCCCCGCGCGGAACGAATCCATGTAGTCCTTGGGATCGCTCCTCATAGTCCACACCGCGAGCGTGTGCATGGACATGCATACGTTGTTCTCTCGCGACTCCTCTTATTCCCCCTCCACATTCTCCTCATCCTCTCCTCTTCCTCCTCCTCCTCCTCCTCCTCCTCCTCCTCCTCCTCCTCCTCCTCCTCCTCCTCCTCCTAGGCGTTGTGGTCCGAGGCGCCCCATTTTGGGGCAGCGGCCCAACAGACCACGACCCCAGCCCCGGGAGAGGGGCGACAGCTGCGGAACGGGCGCGCGGCCGCGATCGCGTTCGGCAGCATGGCGCCAGGAGGCGCAGCATGGACCACCTGCAAGAAGTGCCAGACCTGGTGGTGGAACACCACCCTCGAGAACAACGACTACTGGTGCAGCTGCGGCTGCCGCGTGGCCAGGCCCAAGACGGGCAAACCGCAGCAGTGGCAGCAGCCGCAGCAGCCAGAGCAACAGCAGCAGCAGCAGCAGCAGCAGCAGCAGTAGTCCAACTTGTGGCAGCAGCAGCAATCCATCGGCGAACGCAGTATGAGACCCCGTGGCGGAGGTGGCTCCAGCAGCGGCGCTGCCAAGGCTGGTGGCGTCGCCCAGTTGGCAACGGCACTCAAGACGGTCACGGAGTCCGTCGGCACGCTGAAGTTCGCCGGTGGAGACGCCATCGCGAAGCAGTTCGCGGGCGTAACTGATGCGCTCCAGGAGGCGCCAAAGCAGCTGACCAAGTCGCGCGCGGCGCGCTTGGCGGAGGCGGCGAAGGAACTCGAGTACGCCAATAAGCAGTACCAGTGGGCGTTCGAGCAGTCGGAGATCGCGCCGCGGAAGGCCGAGAAGGCCAAATCCGCCCTGAAGGAGAGAGCAGACGCGGTTGTGAAGGCCGAGCGGGTGATCGAGGAGATCCAGCAGGAGGGCAGGCCGAACACCAGCCAACGGAGCATCTTCGAGCAGCTGCTCGACACAGACGCGGACAAACTCTCGCCGAGTGACGTGCAGATCGCTGAGGTGAAACGGGAGTTCGCACACTGGCGGCCTGGACGAGCAGGGCCGCAAGGTGGTCGACGACGCCGAGCGCCAGGTGCTGGATCAGCTGCAGAGGAACAGGGAGTTCGCGGGCCAGCTGAAGCAGCACCTCCAGGCGGCGAAGCTGAAGGCAGAACAGGAGAGGGCCGAGATCCAGCAGGCCTGCAAGAAGAGGGAGGCAGGCGGACTCCTCGGCAGCGGCAGCACCAGCACCTGCAGCACCGCCAGCGGCAACCGCAGCCACTCCCCCTGCAGCAGCCGACGACGACGAGCACGCGGAGATGAAGGAGACGGACCCCGCGGGGGACTAGCTCCAACAGCGGCGGACCGCGGCGGCCTCTTCGGAGGCCCCCGCAACCCGTTGAAGGTCACGGCGCGGTGGGAGGAGGCAGTTTGGCGACGACTCCCACCTCGAACGCCGCATCTGCAGCGCCAGCAGCACGCGGTGGGGCTCGACGGTCATGAGCTGGCTACGCCGCGACGGAGTACGGCAGCCGTGCGACGTTCACGCGTTGCAGAAGACGCACCTGGCCCACCACGAGCTCGACAGCACAGAGCACAAGCTGCAGAAGGCGGGCTTCTATGCAGTGTGCACAGCAGCGCGAGCAAGCGACAAAAGCGAGAGAGGCACTTGCGGAGGCACGGGAGTCCTCGCCAAGGGCCACCTCCAGGCGGCGTCGCATCGACGCCAGGGGCCACACGTCGCAGCTTCGGGCGCAAGTACTTCAGACGCCCACAGCTCGCAGCACGATGCCTTTAACATGTGCGACTGGACGCCAATCACTCTGCACATGCGCGGGCCCCAGCTCCTCATCATTCCCATCTACCCGGGCCCGTCCCACTCCATCACCAGCGGCGAGAACTCCAGGAAGCTAACGTCGCTGGCGGCGTTCCCCAGTACTACACGCGCGCCATGGAGTCCCTGCGGCGGTTTCAACAGGCCGTGCGACGCAATGGTCCAATCAGGATGAGCTACCGCCCTCGGGGCCGCAGCATACGTCGGGCTTGACAACGACCAGCGCACCTGCTTCCTCGGCGACGCCCCGCCCTCCAACATTTACTACGCATTGGTTAACGAAGACGGGCAACGCCTCGCGCGAGGAATCCAACCAGCGCGCGCGCTGGAAGCCGCACATCGGGCTCGACATCATCATCAGAGAAGACGTGGACTCCATCCGCAGCCGACGACAACAGCCACCGAAGGCCCCCCACGCCCAGCACAGCCCAAGAAGGCCAATACGACGAAGGGGACGAAGAGACAGAGGATCACAACGACCACGCCCACGTGCACGACGCCGTGCGACCAAGACGCCGAAGACTCAGCAAGCTGGGAAGCGCTTGGACCGCACGGATGGCAACGCCACCACGCAACCACAGCACCCACGTCCACTCCGAGCACAGCGCCACTGCCGCGACACAGCACGATGGACGAGGACAGCGGCATCCCGTTCGACTTCGTGGACGGCGACCTCAGCGAGTTCGCCCTACACCACGACTGCCAACCACCCCACCACCTTTCCGACGACGCTCGCGACATGGTCGACCCCCAGGTCGCCACCGAGGCTCAAAGGGCCGGGGCCAGCAGCATGGAGGGCACCGCCGCGGAGCTGAGTTCAGAGGTGGACGAGGACACGGACTGCACTGGCGCTCAAAGAGAGCCACGGCAGATACCACTACCCAGTCGACTTCATTCAATGCGCGAGCGCCCGAGACCGACACCAACATCATGGACGACGCGTGGGAAGTTGCAAACATGATGCACCGCGGCCCCGCCAGCACAGCCCCGCCTTAAATCCAGAACTGCGCCGCCTACCAGGTCGACCCCGATAACGCTGACCAGCTAGGCGCGACACGCCAGCGCCTCATCAGCACGCTTGAGACGTTCTATTGCGTCGCGTACCACATACCACTGGAATACCGCCACCACTTCCTCGGACGCGGACAGGCATGCGAATGCAAGACGGAATTGTTGCAGAAGCCCGACCACCAACAACGGCACGCATCACGCAGATCCGACTGGTGGAGCCGCGCGGAGAACATCCCCAGTACAGTGGTCAAGCTACGACAGCGAGCTCACGGACAACAACAATGCAGCCTACGCGCCGCAGGACGACGCCTGGCACGTGAAGGACTGCCACCATTCGGACGCCATGCATCGGACTCGGCACGGCTGCACCACCAACTTGGGAAACATCGATTCAACTACCTAGAAGACGCCCCAACTGACGCACTCCAGGGCATGGCGCGCTGGCGCTACTTCCACAACTCTCCCGCTGCTGGGAGCCATTGCACAGAGATCGAGTCCGCCAATGGGCCGCAGACCTAGAGCACGAATGGGACGTCGCCATCGCGGGCAACAGCTGCCTGCGCGAGGCGTTACGACGACCCATCACCGACGAGGGTGCTGACACCTTGAACATGACCGAGTCCATCCTCCTGGCAGACATCGAGAAGTTCTACGGCAGCCTTCGGATCGACAAGACCATCCCGGCCGCGGTGCAGGCGCAGTTCCCAGTGCGGCCACTCTACCTCATGATGCTGCAACACTCCGCGGCGCGAGTGCTACGACAACAAGGATCGTACCCCAACCCGCTCTACGCACGCCGCTCCATCCTGGCAGGCTCGCGACCTGCCAACAGTGTAGCGCGCGCGGTTGTATGCGCGGCGATGGCCAAGCTCGCCGATGCCAGCGCACTTCCTGGACCACTACCGCGCGCTTGGTTCGACGACCTTCGCATCCGCATCGTAGGCAGCAGGCCCCAGATCACCACTGCCACTGCGTCCACCACCCAAACCCTTTTCCTGGCGCTACAGGAACAAGGACCTGGACTCGCAGACAAAACCACACTGATGACCATGAACATCAAAGATACTAAGACAAACCAGCGCCAACTCCGTGACCTCGGCATCGACGTACAGGCAGCCACAGAAGGACGCGACCTGGGGGCTGACCGAGCTGCGCGCGGCGCCACCCGACGAGCGACTTGTGCAGCAAGACAGACAGCAGCAAGGCGCCGACTGGGGACAGTACGAACCAAGCTCAAGAGACTCCACACCACGACAAAGACCAGGCAAGCACAGCAGGGCGCGATGGCATCCACAAAGTATGGCACCGCACTCCATGGCCTGGCGCCCGCAGCACTACGAGCGACACGCCGACAATACGCACAAGCACTACGCCGACCTCGGCCAGGGCGCTGTCTCACCACCTTCCTTGACTTTGCGGGAACCGACCCAGCATACGCCACTGCGAAGACGCAGTTTTCCAACTGACTCAGCTGCTGGGCCCGCAGTCCCGACCTTCGTGCACAAACGCGACGCGCGTGGCCCAAGATCTACTTCAGGATGCTCAAGGCACCTGCATCACCACGATGGACACAACGCCGGGGACCCATTGCAGCCGTCACCATGGCATTGTAGGAGCTTGGCTGGGAGTCCAGAGGACCTGGCCACTGGATCGACAGCGAAGGATGCGACTGGCAGTCCCCGCAAGACGGCGAGATCGGAGCGTCGGAGATCCTACAGGTATCCTCGACGCCATCCTAAACGACGTCCGCGCGCAGCTCTGGACAACCGCTGCCAGCCACTATCGCGGAGGGGGCCTGGAGCAGCACGGAGCAGACAGGACGGAATTTCGACGGCACCTACAATGGCTCGGAAACCGCGACAAGCACCGCGAGCATGGGGGTCTCCTCACAGCGGCATGCGCAGGCACAGGGGCACATGCACGACAGCCGTCCACCTTCGGCCACGGCCGCAACCTCTGCGAGCGCGCCCAGGTCGATACCGACCACCACCGCATCTGGGGCGAGTGCATTTGCCGCAGCAACAACCCAGCCTACGCCAAATCAGACCGACTACGTGCACAGGCCGAACCAGGCCACCACACCACGCCAGCTTTCTGGCTACGTGGTATCACGCCACACGATTGGTCGGCACCGCCAGAATGCACCACTGGAGGGCCAGCAACATCGGTAAGATGATCCACGCAGACAAGATCAGCACATCAGACGGCTCGCCCCTGGTCATCTACGGAGACGGATCGGGAGGCGCGCGCAGTGCAGACTGGCGGTATCGCAAATTTGGATGTGCTTGGGCGCGGCTATCGGGACCCGACAACGACGGCTTCAACATTGCAGTTGCGCGCTTCGGGCCCCTGCACGACCTCTGGGAACTCATCGGGGAAGAACTCAACCGCCGCGACGACCAGGGGCCCTCACACATCGCAGCCCGCCACATCAACAGCCACCTCACATGGGAGGAAGCACAAGCACGAGGGTGCCCCCGCCACGCGCGGTTCGGCAACAGCCGGGTGGACAAGCTCGCAGAGAAAGCAGCCCACGAGCACGACATCGGCGACGCCCACATGTCATGTTACGACTGGGTCAACGCCACGGCAGCGCTTGTACGACGCCGCATCGCCGCCGCCACAGTCGACGCCATAGACCGACGCCCAACAGAGGACCACAAAGTTCGAGCAGCACGAAGAGCCCAGTTGAAGCAACGACGGGCGCAGCAAAGACGCCGACGGGACGACTTTGCTGACGGGCCACCACAGCCAGACGGACGACGCCCACTCACCACCCACGGCCTGGCGCGACCACGACGTGGGAAAGGATAGGTATGCAAGTGTTGGACTCAACGAGTTCGACGGGACACCAGCTTCGAAGAAGTCAAGACTTTGTTCCAACAGGGCTGCGCGGGACCACCGCCGAGCCAAGGCCACTCCACCCGGCGCGGCCGCGCAGCACACCACAGCCACCCACTCTTCTTCATACGGGCAGAGGCACGCTGGGTTTGCAGGCGATGTGGCGCCACCACTACGGAGTATATCTCGGTAAAGATGCGTTCAAAATGCAAAGGTCGCCCTGGGTATGACAGCCTCAGATGCAAGCTACAACGTCGGCTCGACATCGCTGCGCACGAGTCCAGCACCCACAGCCCACCTGACGGCAGCGACGGGCACAGCACAGACATGCCCAGCGACGACTGCCAGCCCGAGACAAGCACCGAAGGACAGCAACCAGCACAGCAGCACGACGACATTGAGCGTCAGCAGCAGCACGACGTTGTGACCAGCCTCAGCACCAGCAGCACTCCCAGTGCACAACATGCTGCGAACATCGGCGTGGAGGGGGAGGACGAGCACTCCCTGCGCCCACATGCGGGGG